GTTCTCATATACTTGTAGCTACTATTCAATTAATTTATTTGAGAACCTTTGCCAGTTTTGCACTGGGGTAAGTTTGGAATAGTCCACTTTTGCGTGGGAGGGAGATGGACTGAAATATGCTGTATTTGCTCCCAAGCAAATGTCGGCCTTTCTAGTCTATATATACGTTTGTTATGTTTGTTATAGTTTCGCGGCATACCTGTAATAAGATTAGTAAAGCTTTCGAGATTCAAAGTACTTGTTGTTGCATCTTTGTTCTCATATACTTGTAGCTACTATTTAATTAATTTATTTGAGAACCTTTGCCAGTTTTGCACTGGGGTAAGTTTGGAATAGTCCACTTTTGCGTGGGAGGGAGATGGACTGAAATATGCTGTATTTGCTCCCAAGCAAATGTCGGCCTTTCTAGTCTATATATACGTTTGTTATGTGTCTTAACCTGTACCTAGCCCGTCGTGGCATGAATATACAATAAAGGTCTTTTATCATTATCATTATTTCGTCAGAGGAATCGACAATCTATAGACACTAACTTCTGACCAAAGTTGGAATCTTGACTAGCATCCTTGTAAGCAAGGATATTGATGTTTAATGTCCTTGGTGCTTATGACTTGGTGTAAGATACTGGCTCATGCTATAGCAAAGCGCAACGTTTTGTGCCCCCTACCGTCGCAATTTGGTACTGCAGCCCGTATGACGTCACGACCCAAAACGCAATAAAAATAGAACCACTCATTTTCATCCCACACATTTAATGACTTTGCCAGGTATAAGTTATCCATTCAGATTTCAAACTGTCAAATATACTGAGGTAACATAACAGCGCGTAGCAAGCTGTGCAAAATATACAGTCACGTATATTGCAGAAATGCTCAAATGACAATATATGACATAGCTTTTCTTGCTACATGTAGATGGAGTGGATGGCCATTATAGGCCATGTTGATTTGATTATAATTATATGGATGACATCCGCGCGCGCATGAATTTTCGGCCGTTTCCAGAAAAAAAGTTTTCAACCATACTGTAAATCGTACAAAATAGTTGAAAAATGAGCAAAAATATATACTGTAAGTTGCAAAAAGAATATTTACAAACGATACCAATGTCGTAGAATACAAAGAAACGAAAATGTAAAGAAATGAATTTGAAGAGTAGAGTAGTCGCCAAACCATACTCTGTGTCAAATTTGTTCAACCTTCATGACCATGTAGATTTCATAATGAAAGTAACTTTTTTTTTTGCAAAACCTTTTGTTTATTCGCACGCGCGCATCAGTTTTGGGGTTCCCAGAGGATGTCATCCGTATAATCAAATCAACATGGCCGTATGTATCATGTGAATAGACCACAGTGGCCTCGTACATGAATATGTACATCAATCTGTATCTGTACATGAATATGTACATGAATATGTATCTGTACATGAATCTGTACATGAATATGTATCTGTACATGAATCTGTACATGAATATGTTTGTACATGAATCTGTATCTGATTGCAAATAAAGATCTCGAGTGATTGCCATAGATAGAATAAACCACATTTTTAAATCCAATACGAAAAACACAGAACTACACACCCCATTTCTTCGCCCCTTCCATTCTTTTTTCACAGATGTTACTACCTTCAATGATTTAAAATTAAGATTATGTTTCCTATGTTCAGGAATGTATATGTTACGGGATCACAGAATCAAGACACACGAATGTCTCTCTATTAGATTCTAAGCCAAGAAACATGACTAACAGTGACTTTGTTACTACGGGTGATTTTAAAATCATTTTTCCAATTCATTTGCCATTCTAAAATGTGTCACATACAAAGCAAAACAAAAAAATACACCAAGATGTATAATGATAACATTGATTCATAAAAGCTGAGAAAAGACTAAAAAACTAAATGAAAGCTAGAAATAGCCCACACTTGTCCCCTAACGCACTGACACAGTTTGGGCATACCAGAGTATAAGTCTTAGAATAGTAATGTCCATCTGTATTTAAAAATACCCCCACAAGCTTCCTTCTGGATGAAACATCATAACATACATGAAGTCATTTTCTACCAAATTGGCGTTACCGATTCAACACATTGTTCGGCTCTTTCTGGTAACGTGTAAAGTATGGTCCTCACTTCACTTTCTACTTCAGTCTGTTCATTACATTGTAGATTTGACAACTATAGTTACATAGTGTAATACTATTACTAACAGCCACGTACTTCTACGTTCTGTCTGAAAATAAAGATTGTGGAATGAAATAATACTATATGTTCTTCACAGTTTGAAGTGTCACTTCTTTCTAAGTCACTCAGATACTACTTTGTCCTCACAGTGTACAGTGTACAGAATCACTTCTTTCTCAGAATGACTTGAAATATAGTCAATACTTTCACCCAGAAACGTCAATATTCACACTGCCTCCACTTGAATGGATATGTATACTTTTGTTGCCTCCACTTCACTTGAAATAGAATTGCTGACAGTTCTGTCCACTCCCAGGTAAGCAGGTACAGGTGTATCCGCCATCTTTGTTCACACAGCGTCCAACTGGGCAGGGATTCTTGGCGCATTCATTTATATATCTGTGCAAGAATAAAAATGCATCTAATTCTAGTGCCAGTCAATCCAACCATGCATGTTACACGTAGATAGTTGGAGAAAAGTAAAGAGCTTTATTTGGTAATAAAAAGCATGCAGGAAACAAAATCACTAAACGATTTCCATAGAAAAGAGCAACTTTAGAGCAAAATGCCTGCACACCAGAATGTTTTCACGTTGCCAACAGTTCTGTCCAGTCCATCCAGGTGAGCAGGTGCATTTGTATCCATATAGCTAATACGTGCTAACACCGTCGGCATTCTTAAGCTCAACATGTTCAGACAAGTAAACACGGCGCGATTCAACACAGTATACGAGCAGCTAACAGACCAAATATGGAAACTATGAATAATTAATCACCACTCCTGTCAATCATTCGATTCGTGATTGACAGCGTGGCCAGTCACGTTTTGGATTATTCCAACTCGTGGTCTTGTGCCATGATTTGGAATACAACGTGTGGAATGCCTATTGCATTCCAAAACGTGGTCCATTCCATAACACAGTCTTCTATATCACAGTAGTTGTGTTCAAAACTACTTTAGCATCATTAACTGTATTTGCTTTTGTAGTTGATGATCGTTGAAGTTGCATGCACAATAAAGATAAGGATGGTTAGAGGAACTGACATAAACGATTTTTCACAGTTCAATATCCAAGAAAAAAAGGATATTTTGAGGATGTCATAAAAGTCATAACTTAACATTACCTTTGGCACATTCCTCTCCTGGACCTGAAAAGCAAAAGACACAACAACAACTTAAGGGAAGAGTTCAAATTTATATAATAATGAGTCGTTCTAAATAGACACATTTGAGTATACAAGTGCTTCTTATTCTCAATCATTTCAACAACATACGCATTCAATTTACACAGATGAACTTTCATTTCAAAATATATCTCAGGGAAGACAATCTGATCTCAAATTCACCTGTAGAGATTCCAGTCGGAGTCGTCTTTGTCAACAGAAACTCAGATCAGGATTCTGTTAGTGCGTTAGGGTTGCATTTCCATTTACAAATCCTACTTTTCAAGTCAATCCATGGATCAAAGTTACCTATCTGGCAGATGAAGTACGTCTCGTCGTCACACTGGTTGTCATCCCAGAGAAAGTTTTGAGCAGCCCATAGAGTAGCGCAGTCCTGTTGGTTACAATTGTTGGGTTCTCCTGGAGCCCATTTGGTGAAACCGCAGCCTCTCAGTGGTGTTCCGTCTGACCAAGTCCAACGGTTTTCAACCTAGAGGAGGGTAAAATTTACAACAAGGTACCCGTCAACGGAGTCAGAACCAAAACATAGGAACATTCCGGTGTGTTGACGAGCGGCCATGCCCGTAGTCAGGATTTTGAAAGAGAGGGTTCTTCCCAGTGCCTGAGGGACCAGCGAGCGCCGAAGGCGCGAGGTTCCTAGGCCACCGGAAAATTAAAAAAAATGAGCCTTTTGAAATGGCATTTCCTGCGTTTTTGAGAGGATTTCAAAGAAAAAATCAGAGATAACTTTTTATTCAATGACAAAGTACTTAAGTAGGTAGTTTTTATTCGAGCCCCGCTGGTGATACGAATCAGTTCATCTTGTGAAAAATCTTGGACCTTTAAATAAAAAGTGGACTGGCTACGGGCATGGGTCACATTTAAACTCCGACAAATAACGGCAGAAAAAAATACTTACGGAAATGTCGTTGAGACCAAACCAGTAACCTTTGAATCCATCAACGTGCCCAATTAAGCCAAGAAGGAAACTGAACACTGCCTCTGTCTTAATCGTTGCAAGACGGCCTCCGTCTGATGCACAGGTCTGCTGGGCCCCGCTGTATGTCTTTTTCTCGGCAAATACCTTGTACTCGGTATTACCTAGTCTTTCGTACCCCGTCCTCTTCTTGGCTGTTACATAGAAATAATGCCATCACAACAAACATCGCAGAAAAAAAGCTCGTACCAGCCAACAAATTCACAAACCATACAAAATCATTGGCTCTTTCTCTGCTATAAACGCAACAAGCATTATCTGTATTTTATTTTCAACTACGATGGACTTCTTTCCTACGATAGACTTCTTTCCTAAGAAAAAAAATTATTGCAATTAAAATGGGGAAAACTAAATCTATAATGAAATAGAAAAGTATACGATTTTCCACAGAAAAGGGACACATTCAAGCAGATTGTGGTTAATATTTAACCTGATGGCAACAATGAATGCTCGGGAAAAGTTTAAAAAAAGAAACGTTATCTTTAATATGTAGTGATAAGATTGAAACTATTGATGGAAATGGCATCCTTCAAACTGTCCTAAATTTTCAAATCTAATCAATAAAATGACTAAACGCGCAGAACGTGGCATGAACGTAACGACGCAATGGACTTTTTTTGACATAGAAATATCAGCACATTCACCCGCTGTCGTATCTACAGAGTCTTACCTAAGATCTGGTAGACCTCATGTGCGAAAATCCCGCCTGTACCGTCCGCAGCACAACCGTGTCTGGGGGGTCCGTTCTTCGTGTAGACGGTGGGACCAGAAGCTAATCCAGAGCAGGACCCGCCAAACGTGAGAGCAAACACGTTAAAACCACGGGAAAGCGCCACCTGGAAACACTTCTCAATCGCGTCGGTACGGTGCCTGTAGTTGTCGTCTAGGCGTGGGTCTGTCCTCTCGAGAATCAGAATGGCGGGGTCAGATTTGTACCTGAAGCAACCCAGGCTCTTATACAGTTGCCCACGGCTGGTGCTTCCTGGGTAAGGTATAATGAATGAATAAACGTATGAATGAATGAATGAATGAATGAACGAACGAATGAATTAACAAGAGTTCCACGATCTCATACCTTCGCCAAATGATGTTAACCCTTGCGGTTGACTAATTATACAATTCTAATCATTGATTTTGTAAATAAGAGCCTCATTTACATGTATTATATCAGTTCATCCTATTCTCCACCCAATGACAGCCTTATCTTAACAAAAAAAGCTATTGTAGCACTTCCTCATAAATTATGCAAATGAGGTCATGATTTGAATAAATTATGTTTATCGATGTTCACCTTCATTTAACTTCCAAATGTGGCAAGTATGAAATTCCCAGCAGTTACAAGTATGAAATTATAAAAAATTGCCATTAATTATGCAAATCAGGTCCTCATTTACATAATCTATATCCTCAGATGTTTTTCTTGTTCTCAAGTAGATGTCACAGGTGTTTCATAGTTCTATTATCGAACAAAGCAGATTTATAGAATTTTCTCATTAATTATGAAAATTACTCCTTATTTGCATAATTGTCATCTGATTATGTCAAGCATCACTTCAACTATCTACATACCAAAAATCACGACAATACGTCCACCGGTTCTTGAGTTATCCTCCTTCGAAATGTTTTCAACAAATGCTCCTGCAGTTCCAGAACAAGCTGCTAGGGGACCCAAACTCATGTCACTTCTTCCCTATTCCAAGAGCAATCTGCCATCCGAAAATCTTGACCCTAGCATGTCCAGATCATGAGATATCAAAACCGGAAGTTCTGCTGCAGTACCTAGGAAAGTCACCAGGGGGCCCAAAATTTTATCAATTCTAGGCCTCATTAAGATCTACCCACCTACTAAGTTTCATTCTAATCCATCAACTGCTTCTCGAGTTATCTTGCTAAACCACACTCACACACACACACACACATACATACATACCCACAGACAAACGCTACTGAAAACATAACCTTCTTGGCGAGGGTAATGAAGACATTTGTGTACATGCATACCTATTAAGTTAAGTACAGGCCACGACAAATCGATATTTTGCATATACATGATCAAGCTAGCACTAGCACTATAGTCTATTAAGTAAATTCGACTTCTTGCTTCTCTGTGATGTTAAAAAGATAAGAACCGACATGTTTTAGAATGTATTACTGTGTATCACTTTAACGTGTAATTTCAGGAAGTCGAAACTCATTTCTACTAATTTAAAAGTAATTTACACCTTTTGCAAAATAAGTGTACTGCGACATCAGGATATTAGCCCTAAGGCTAGTAGTCGTATGTAGTACGATACCCGACTTGTATCACTGTAAGGCCATGTTGATTTGATTATATGGATGACATCCTCCGGGAACCCCAAAACTGATGCGCGCGTGCGAATAAAAAAAGTTTTGCAAAAAAAAAAGTTGTTTTCATTATGAAATGTACGTGGTCACGAAGGTTGAACAAATGGCACAGAATATGGTTTCGCGAATAACCTACTCTTCGAATTCATTTCTTAACAATTTCGTGTTTTTTCCTTTGATTTTGGCATTCTACGACATTGGTATGGTTTTTTTTGTAACTAACGGTATATTTTTGCTCATTTTGCAACTGTTTTGTATGATTTACAGTATGGTTGAAAACTTTTTTTTTGGAAACGGCCGAAAATTCATGCGCGCGCGGATGTCATCCATATAATCAAATCAACATGGCCTAATTGAACCTAGAAGTGCTTTATCACAGTGTAATGAACTGAATCTTCTGTTGTCGGTGATTATCGTTTACTATGTTACAATGAAATTTTGAATTTGCATGTCACATTGGCGGTCCAGCCAGCTTCCGATAGAATTTTGGTTATTGTCCGTCGACTCTATGATTTGGGTAGAAAATGTAGTTAAACGTAAATTTTGGATACGAAAAATATAGATTTTTTGCAGTTTTTTCAACGGACCTGCTTGAAAAAAAAACGAATTTTCCCAGGCTATATATGCCGAAATAGCTTACTACTTCCTGTATCTGAAAAACGGAAAAAATATAGGTTGTTGCGATAAGTTTTTCGCAAAATCATGGTGACGCGAATGCCTTGAAATTCCACATAGAACGCAGCTATTTGGGTAATCAGGCAACAAATCACCCTTGCTCGCGGACTAATACCTAAAACGCGTCGCTGCCCGTCCAGCTTCACCACGCCGAAAAACACTACAATCCCAAGGTTTTTTGATCAATTCAAAACCTATTTGAAAATCTACAACGATCTCCGAGCTACGGGGAGCCAAACCTAGCATGACAACCTCGCAGAACCGGCGATTTACTGCGCACTTACTTAGACTCTGGTCAGATTTAAACTCCGACCCGGAACCTTGAAATACGGCACATTTATAGAATTTCCTCAGAAAAGAGCCACATTCAAGCAGAATACCCGGAGCAGCATTTGTATTCGTATTAATTGGCAAGTACGATCTCACCTTGCTGACAGTCTTTTCCAGTCCATCCAGCTGAGCAGGTACAGGTGTACCCACCATCTTGGTTCTCACAGCGTCCATGTAGGCAAGGGTTTCCGGCACACTCATCTATGTCTGTGTGATGAAGGAAAGAAAATGTATCTAATTTGTTTGGCATGGAACACAATGATACACGCAACACCAACACCTAAAACCTGTTATGAAATTAAGGAAACCAAAATTAATGATTTTCCATCCATAAAGAAGAACAACTTGCAAACATAATGAATATATTGGAATGAAATCACCTTTCCGACAGTCCTTTCCAGTCCATCCAGGTGAGCAGGTACATTTGTATCCGCCATCTTGGTTCTTACATGTTCCATGTTGACAGGGATTTGTGGCACACTCATTTATGTCTGTGGGATAAAGGAAAGAAAATGTACGTAATTTAATTAACATATAACACAATGATACACGGAAAACCAAGACCTTAATAGATGTGTAATGAAAAAGAAGAAAACCAAAATATGTTATTTTTCATCCATAACAACAACTTTCAAACAAAATGAATACATGAGAAGGAACTCACCTTTCTGGCAGTTCCGTCCAGTCCATCCAGATGAGCAGATACAATTGTACCCGACACCAAGTTTCTCCTCACAGCGTCCGTGTTGACATGGGTGAAAGTCGCACACATTGACACCTGCGTGATAAAGAAAAGAAAATGAACAAAATTTTAACAAGAAGCCATAGGTGACAATTCTCCGTGAAGTATCATATATTGCAACAAAAAGAAGTAGCCATTGGCGACAATTCTCTGTGAAGTGTGATAAATCGAACAAAGAAAAATTGTTTAAACGCGCGTCGGCTCAGCTTAAGACGCAACAACCAATCAGAGATGCGAAATGCCGACACGTGACGCGGGATTTGCATACAGTCTAAACAACGGGGAAGGGCGCGCGATGCCCGAAATATTTTTGCGTCAATATTCAGCGCCGTGATTCAAGAGATTAATACCCGGAAACAATTTCTTTTCTTGTTTTGAACGCATAAACTTGCATTTACGCTAATCTAGTATGATTCAGGGTTACTTTTTTTTAAACCTGCCATGGCCAGATTATCTAAAGATGTGTGTATTGTGTGTACAATTTACAGAAAGAGAAATGTACATCAGGTCCGATCATCCGATTTTCACGTTTCGGTTTTTTGGACTCGGTTCATGAACGTATTTTGGTTTGGCTCCTGGAATGTGCGAAAAAAATGACTCCCGGGACTGTCTACAGGGAACACTCGCACATTTGCGGTGTATCAGGACAGCGCGACTGGTCGGCATTAGCGCAGTCCCTGCAATTAGTAACAGTTGCACATCAATCCGACCGAAAGCATGATTGTGTAACACAGGCTACTTCTTCATATACCGGCTCATACTACAAGACGCCTTTACAACTAGCAAATCATAAAATTACCCGATCTACCAGTATGTGCGGTATGTGCGGCGTATAAAATTGCGTGCCGATTACACAAAGAGAACCCAGTGTTTTGACCGCGAACATGAAAAATCAGCCGATCACAACACTCCGTCCGGAGGTCCTGACCTCCTTCACGGAGTAATAACAAAGAGCCTGATAATAACACCTACAATGTAGATTCTTAGAGAAAATGAAAACCTTAAGCTTGTACTGAAAAATTATGATTTGACATAAAATTACATGGGTACACGATAGCACTTACTATGTAAAGGCATAGTTAGAGAAAAGTACGATCTCAAATTTGTTCGGAAAAGAAGGAACAGATATATTCATGATCTGTCACAGAGAAAGGGGCAACTTTTAAACACAAGAGGAAACTCACGTTTCTGACATTTCTGTCCAGTAAATCCAGGTAAACAGATACATTTGTGTCCGCCATCATTGGTGTTCTCACACTTTCCAAATCCGCATGTGTTCCTGGCACAACCATCTAAACCTATGTGATAAGGGAAAGAAAAAAATATCTTTTTCAAATATTCAACCCGATGATTCATGTGACACTCATTAAAAAAAAATAATACTTTTTTGTAATGAAAGAAAGGACACAAATATATAATTTTGTCCATAGAAAAGAGCAACTTCCAACTAAAGCAAAAAAACTACATCAGAAGTAGACATGGATGATTGGCACACCCATAATATATATGTCTGTGTTGTCAAGTGATGAAGAAAACAACAACAAAAAACGTCGATGAAGGTTAGACATCCAGGTCATGACTATAAAAATATGCCAAAAAGGCAGTTACTCAAGCTACTGGATATGTTTTCCAAAATCATATCCAGTTGCTTGAGTACTGCTTTTTTGGCGTACAAAAACATGCAGTTCGAAAGTTTGATTAACATACAGCCCGATAATAATCCTAGGTTGGAGAAAAGGAAGAGATTTGATTTGTAATGGAAAGAAGGAAACAAAAATATTGTCTTTTTAAATAAAAAAGATCAACTTTCAAACATATAATTACATTAAAACTTACCTTTATCACAGTGTATCCCAGTCCATCCAGGTGAGCAGGTGCATGTGAAGCCAGGAACAAAGTTCACACATTGTCCATGCAAACAATGCGAGGGGCGTATGTTGCACTGGTCGACATCTGATGGCAGAAAAATGAGACACTGATTTGCAACATAACAAGTATTGCCATGTCAAGCATCACTTAAGCTGCCTACATACTAAAAATCACGACAATCGGTTAACCGGTTCATGACTTAACCCCCCCTTAAAGACTGTTAAGGAATGTTCCAGCGGTTCCAGAATCTTCTGGAGAAGGTGATAAAACAACCTCACCTTGGTCACAGTTCTGTCCTCTCCATCCCCTTTCGCACCGACATCTGTATCCGCCATCTTGGTTCACACAGCGTCCATGTTTACAAGGTTTCCCGACACATTCGTCTATGTCTGCGTGTTAAAGGAGAGAAAACATGTAACTGATTTTAACAGTCCACCCGATGATTTATGTAACTCTTAATGCTTGTAGAATATGAAGAACGTTTTTGGACTACAGACTAACCCTGCTGACAGTTCTGTCCAGTCCATCCAGATGAGCAGGTACATTTGTATCCGTCATCTTGGTTCACACAGCGTCAATTTTGACATGGGTTTCTGGCACAGTCATTTATGTGTGTGTACAATAGGACTGGAATCTTGAACCTAGTTATGGTGATGGTGATTGTGAACCCTCTTTGAATCTGAATGGCGGACATCTCTCTTCTATGCTTACGTTACTACGAAAAGGGGGCTCACACAAAAGGAACTCACCTTGCTGACAGTTCTTTCCAGTCCATCCAGGTGAGCAGGTACATTTGTATCCGCCTTCTTGGTTCTTACATGTTCCATGTTGACAGGGATTTCCGGCACACTCATCTATGTCTGTGTGATAAAGGAAAGAAAGTGTATCTAATTTGTTTAACATAACACAATGATACGCGTAACAACAAGATTTCATCTGTTTCATGAAAAGAAGGAAACCAAACTTAATGGTTTTTCATCCATAAAAAAAGAACAGCTTGCAAGCAAAATAAGTACATAAGAAGAAACTCACCTTGCTGACAGTTCTGTCCAGTCCATCCAGGTGAGCAGGTACATTTGTATCCACCATCTTTGTTCACACAAATCCCGTGCTGGCATGGGTTCCTAGCACATCCGTCAACTGTACAAAAGAAGTGATCAAATGTCAAGTTTTTCTAGACATCCAAACGCTATCAATCTATAAGCTCCTCACAAAAGCTCCTCAGACAATAAACAGCGGACCCTCCTGAAAGGAAGTTGTAAAAATTCTTTCGACACCGTTGATGACTACACAAAGGAGTCCAACTCGTTGATCACTGTTCTGTCCAGTCCATCCAGGTGAACAGGTACAGGTGTATCCACCATCGTTGTTCTCACAAGTTCCGTGCTAGCAAGGTTTCCTCACACACTCGTCAACATCTGATAAACGATACACTCAAATGTTGACTCTTGCAGCATTTCATTATAGATTGCTTGACAGCGTTTGGATGTATGACTACACAAAAGGAACTCACCTCGCTGACAGTTGTATCCAGTCCATCCAGGTGAGCAGGCACAGGTGTATCCGCCATCGTTATTCTCACAAGTCCCATACTGGCAAGGTTTCCTCACACATTCGTCAACATCTGTGTAAAAGATACACTCAAATGTTAACTCTTGCAGCATATAGATAATCATTATAGATTGCTTGGCTGCGTTTGAATGTATGACTACACAAAAGACTACACAAAAGAACCTCACCTTGCTGACAGTTCCGTCCAGTCCATCCAGGTGAGCAGGCACATTTGTATCCGCCATCTTTGTTCTCACAAGTCCCGATCTGGCAAGGGTTCCTCACACACTCGTCAATATCTGTGTAAACGATGCACCCAAATGTTAACTCTTGCAGCATATATATAATCATTTTAGATTGCTTGACAAATTTTGGATTTATGACTACACAAAAGAAACTCACCTTTCTGACAGTTCCGCCCAGTCCATCCAGATGGGCATTCACATTCGTATCCACCATCTTTGTTCTCACAGGTTCCGTGCTGGCAAGGCTTCCTCACACACTCATCAATATCTGTGTAAACGATATTATCAAATGGTAGCTCTTGCAGCAATAGATAATCATTATATTTATTTGCAATAAACATCTCTATTATAGATTGCTTGACAGCGTTTGGATGTATGGCAACACAAAAGGAACTCACCTTGGTGACAGTTCTGTCCAGTCCATCCAAGTGAGCAGGTACATTTGTATCCACCATCTTTGTTCTCACAGCGTCCATGTTGGCAGACATTTGTAGCACACTCATCTATGTCTTAGTGATAAAGAAAGAAATATCATAAATAAATGAAACTTCCTGATAGTATGTAAATCACCCATTAATGTGATAATATTAAGATACAGAAATAACTCACCTTGCTGACAGTTTTGTCCAGTCCATCCAGGTGAGCAGGTACATTTGTATCCGCCATCTTTGTTCTCACAGGTTCCGTGCTGGCAAGGTTTCCGGGTACAGTCATCCATGTCTGGGTGGACAAATAAAGTTCATGGTAAGACCGACAACTCTGGCAATACATATATAAATGTGGTGATCAGTATGGGCTTCCTCCCTGGTGGAAAATGTCTGCTCAAAATGTACAAAACATTGCAATAAATACATAGAATACTTTACTGCTTGGAGTGCATGAGTGCACGAAAAGAACTAACTCACCTTGCTGACAGTTCTGTCCAGTCCATCCAGGTGAGCAGGTGCATTTGTATCCGCCGTTTTTGTTCACACAGGTTCCATGTTGGCATAGTTTTGTAGCACACTCATCTATGTCTATTAGATGATGCAAAGTTTCGATAAGTAAGTCACCTAACCTAATTAACATTAGGTAAAGATCAACTTGCGAAAATAATTTTGTCACATAACAAACAAAAATACAAAAATTCAAAAACACAATGTCCATGTTGACAGAGGGTTGACGTTCCAACATATTCATCTATGTCTGTGGTATAAAGAAGGGAAATACTGTACCTATCTGCACTAGTTGATCATTTACCCCAATTAACAGAAATGGTGAGATTGTGAGTTGAAATACGAACCTGGTTTCAAAGGAATTATTAAGGTTAAACTATTTTAGATTTGAAAGTATAAAAATTATATACAGAGATTTGTTAAAAAGAGGAATACTATAAGTACTCACCTTGCTCACAATTCCTCCCAGTCCATCCAGGTGAGCAGGTACAGGTGTATCCGTCATCTTTGTTCTCACAAGCCCCGTGCTGGCAAGGTTCCTTCCTCATACACTCATTGATATCTGTGTGATGCATAACGGTTATGGTAAGACTGAAAACTGGTAAAATGTTAATACACATATTGTCATGGTCTAGGGTAAGATACAAAAAAATGCTTCCATGTTGAAAAACATGCAAAGCAAAAAACACATGAAACAAAGTTTGAATCTTAAGAGTCCGTGACTTCACGAAAAGAACTCACATTCCTGACACATTTGTCCAGTCCATCCAGGTGAGCAGATACATTTGTATCCGCCATCTTTGTTCTCACAGCGTCCATGTTGGCAGGGATTTCCATTACATCCATCTATGCCTAGAACTGTGTGATAAAGAAAAAAAATCTTGTATCTAGCTGCACTAGTTGTTAATTTACTTAGAGTAATCAAAATTAAGAACTTGTGAGTTAAATTATGTTAATCCAGTTTCAAAAGAACACATCAGAGATTCAGTTTTCGAAAGTATACAAAGAATACATAGGGATTTGTTCAATTCAAAAGAGGGATACTATAAACTTGAATGATTAAAGATATGCTTACGTTGCTGACAGTTCCGTCCAGTCCATCCAGGTGAGCAGATACATTTGTACCCGCCATCTTTGTTCTCACAGCGTCCATGTTGGCAGGGTTTTCCATTGCATCCATCTATGCCTAGAACTGTGTGATAAAGAAAAAAAATCTTGTATCTAGCTGCACTAGTTGTTAATTTACTTAGAGTAATGAAAATTAAGAACTTGTGACTTAAATTATGTTAATCCAATTTCAAGAGAACACATCAGAGACCCAGTTTTCGAAAGTATACAAAGAATACATAGGGATTTGTTCAATTCAAAAGAGGGATAATATAAACTTGAATGATTAAAGATATGCTTACGTTGCTGACAGTTCCGCCCAGTCCATCCAGGTGAGCAGGTACAGGTGTATCCGCCATCTTTGTTCACACAGTCGCCGTGCTGACAAGGTTCCCTCACACACTCGTTGATATCTGTGTGAGACAACGGTTGTGGTAAGACTAACAACTCAGGATACACCATTGCAATGATTCAAGTTGGGGTAGAATTAAAGAAAGACATGAGGCCCAAGTAGATAATGAATGAAAGACCTTTATTGCACATTTATGCTCTTTCGAGCTAAGTACAGGTCATGAAGACAAACTAAACAATACTATTGTTTACAGGATTGACTTCTTCTCGCTTCTTAAAACAATTGTAGATGAATGAACATATAGAACTTACAAAACACGGCTTGTCTAATTTCATAAGATATATAAATTTGTCTAAACTATTCAAATATTTAAAACTAGGAAACTATAAAACATCGCAAAAAAACACAAAATACATGAAATGACTCCACAAAAAGAAGTAGCTCGCCTTTGTGACAGTTCTGTCCAGTCCATCCAGGTGAGCAGGCGCATATGTATCCGCCATCTTTGTTCTCACAGCGTCCATGTTGACAGGGTTTTTCAGTACATTCATCTATGTCTGTGTGATTAAGTAGAGACATCTTGTACATGTACCTAAAGCTACACCAGTTGGTAATCTACACCAAATAATGAACCTCTGGGTTTAAATACAAATCTGTGGTTAAAGATTCAGATTTTGTAAATAAAACAAAAAAGATGCATAAGGATTTGTTCACAAGACGAATACTAGTACTATGAACTTGATTGAATAAAAAAAAGTGCTCACCATGCTGACAGTTCTGTCCAGTCCATCCAGGTGAGCAGGTGCATTTGTATCCGCCATCTTTGTTCACACAGCGTCCGTGTTGACAAGGTTTTTCAGTACATTCATCTATGTCTGTGTATGTGATTAAGTAGAGACATCTTGTACCTAGAGCTACACCAGTTAGTAATCTACACCAAATAATAAACCTCTGGGTTTAAATAAGTGTCTGTGGTTAAAGTAATTGATAAAAGATTCAGATTTTGTAAGTAAAACAAAAAAGATGCATAAGGATTTGTTCACAAGACGAAAACTATGAACTTGATTGAATAAAAAAGTGCTCACCTTGCTGACAGTTCTGTCCAGTCCATCCAGGTGAGCAGGTACATTTGTATCCGCCATCTTGGTTCTCACAGCGTCCATGTTGACAAGGATTTTCAGTACATTCATCTATCTCTGCGTGATTAAGTAGAGACATCTTGTACCTAGAGCTTTACTAGTTCGTATTTTATACCAAAATGATAAGCTACTAATTGTACTAGTACTCACCTTGCTGACAGTTGTGTCCAGTCCATCCAGGTGAGCAGGTACATTTGTATCCGCCATCTTTGTTCAGACAGCGCCCATGTTGACAAGGATTTTCAGTACATTCATCTATCTCTGCGTGATTAAGTAGAGACATCTTGTACCTAGAGCTGCACTAGTTCGTATTTTATACCAAAATGATAAGCTACTAAAAGTACTAGTACTTACCTTGCTGACAGTTGTGTCCAGTCCATCCAGGTGAGCAGGTACATTTGTATCCGCCATCTTTGTTCTCACAGCGTCCATGTTGACAAGGATTTTCAGTACATTCATCTATCTCTGTGTGATTAAGTAAAGAAATCTTCTACCTAGAGCTACATTAGTTCGTATTTTATACCAAAATGATAAGCTCGTGACTTCAGTCAGAAATCCGCGGTCAAAGGAATTGATAAAAGATTCAGATTTTCTAAATATAACAAAAAAGATGCATAAGGATTTGTTCACAAGACGAATACTAAGAGCTTGGTTGAATAAAAAAAGTGCTCACCATGCTGACAGTTCTGTCCAGTCCATCCAGGCGAGCAGGTACAGGTGTATCCGCCATCTTTGTTGACACATGTTCCATGTTGACAAGGTTTTTCAGTACATTCATCTATGTCTGTGTGTGTGATCAAGGACAGACATCTTGTACCTAGAGCTACACCAGTTGGTGATCTACACCAAATAACTCTGGGTTTAAATACAAATCTGTGGTTAAAGATTCAGATTTTGTAAGTAAAACAAAAAAAAGATGCATAGGGATTTGTTCACAAGAGGAATACTAAGAACTTGATTGAATAAGAAAAGTGCTCACCATGCTGACAGTTCAAAGGAATACTAAGAACTTGATTGAATAAAAAAAGTGCTCACCTTGCTGGCAGTTCTGTCCAGTCCATCCAGGTGAGCAGGTACATTTGTATCCGCCATCTTCGTTCACACAGCGTCCATGTTGACAAGGTGTTTCGATGCATTCATCTACATGTATGCCTATGTGATTAAGCAGATTAATAGTGTAGTTCAATTAACGAAAGTGGCGATTTCAAATCCAGGGGTTCATTATCATGACATCGAAGTGAGAGATCAGATGTCAAGGGGATAAAAAAATAATATATAAAGATTTGTCAAATAGAGAATTCCAAACTTAAAATACTGTGAACACGAGTGAATAAAAAAGTGGTCACCTTGCTGACAGTTCTGCCCAGTCCAGCCAGGTGAGCAGGTACAGGTGTATCCACCATCTTTGTTCACACAAGTCCCGTGCTGGCAAGGGTTCCTCACACACTCGTCAACATCTGTGTGACACATAAGGTCATTGATAAGACTGACAACTCTGGAAATACATCACTGTAATTATACAGGCTACAAGTACAAGAAAAAACATACCTTTCTGGTAGAAAATATGCAAAACATTGCAGAAAACACATGAAGTACTTCGACATTTGAACCTTTAGAGTGTGTGACTCCACAAACAAAGACTCACCTCGCTGACATTCCTTCCCAGTCCATCCTGAAGAGCAGATACATTTGTATCCGCCATCTTTGTTTGCACAGCGTCCATGTTTGCAGGGTGTCCCGGTACACTCATTTATGTCTGTGGAATAAAGAATACAAAGCCTGTACCGAGCGGCCTACTTTCATTTGAATTACATCTCACCAAAACAATGAACCTGTACATTTGATTATGAATCTAGTTTAAGAGAAATTGGTTGAAACTTCAGAAAGTAGAAAAGGGAACAATATAAGTACTGAATCAAAAGGATCTCACCTTTTTGACAGTTCTTTCCAGTCCATCCAGGTGAGCAGGAACAGGTGTATCCGCCATCTTTGTTCTCACAAGTCCCGTGCTGGCAACGGTTCCTCTTACTACATTCGTTTATATCTGTGTGGAAAGTAAGAGTTGAGTAAGTGATATTGTTAACTCTGGAAAACTTCTATATTTCAGACACCTACAATCTATCAGAGAACACGCAGATGACTCTAGAACTTCTTTTTTACTCCTATGAGAAAGAGGTAGGATAACTTGAATTAGCTACACAAAAACACCTCACCTTGCTGACAGTTCTTTCCAGTCCATCCGCGCGAGCATTTGCATCTGTATCTGCCCTTTTGTTTCTTACAGCGTCCATGTTGGCAAGGGTTTCCGCCGCACTCATTTATGCCTGTAAGACGCGGAGGTATCTAGTTAGTTGCAGATAGAACTGAATCGACCATAACCTGGCATTAAAGCAATCTGAAACTTTTTTTGAAGAGGAGAAATACCACTTCATTATTCATACTAACAATTTTAAGCTTGAATGACTAAAAAAAGACTCACCTTGTTCACAGTTCTTTCCAGTCCATCCAGGTGAGTAGGTACAGGTGAATCCGCCATCTTTGTTCAGACAGCGCCCATGTTGACAAGGCTTTCCAGTACATTCATCTATGTCTGTGTGATTAAGTAAAGACATCTTGTACCTTGAGCTACATCAGTTGGTAATCTACACCAAATGATGAACCTCTGAATACAACTCTATGATCAAGGAAATCGATAAAAGATTTAGATTTTGTAAGTATAACAAAAATGATATATAAGGATTTGTTTAGAAAAGAAATACTAAGAACTTGATTGAATAAAAAAGTGCTCACCCTGCTGACAGTTGTGTCCAGTCCATCCAGGCGAGCAGGTGCATTTGTATCCGCCATCTTTGTTCACACAGCGTCCATGTTGACAGGGTTTCCGGGTACACTCATCTATGTCTGTGTAAAAACAAATATTTCAGTAACTATATACAGATCTAGCTTGAACTCATCAACATAGCTATAGCACATTGTTGCTGCATTAACAGGCATTATGCTTCAAGGTTTAATGTTAAAATGAATGAATGAATGAATGAATGAATGAATGAATGAATGAATGAATGAATGAATGAATGAATGAATGAATGAATGAATGAATGAATGAATGAAAGCATCGTCTTCAAGTCGACATCAAACATCTTTAACCAAAATCTTGGTTGAATTACAATGCAAGAAATCGATTCTTCACTGTTGAATTCTTTGTCTTATAATTACAGGCACAAAGTTGAAAATGCAATTATCCGGACTGCAGTAGGATGTCAACACTGCCTACCCATTCTACATCAGGGCATTACAACCATCCCTCAACAGAGACGGGGGGCGCCACAGACTTTCTGCAGCATATGATCCACTGCTCACGGAGTCACGTGTGTTATCTGCGTGACGTCACGGAAGCGGTGGATTACCCATTCCTTGACAAAGACTGGAGACTGGAGTACAGTCGAAAATTTGGGTGTGTCCAATTTGTTGTTTGGGAAATTACAGTTTAAACTTGCTTCATAATGATGAAACTCTGAGTTTGAACATTGGTTGCCGAGACGCAGATCTAGTATCACAGGCAGAAGTACCAAAAATAGTAAAAAACTTGATATTCCAAAGGCTAAAACACACCAATACCCTACCTGACTCGATTGTTGAACCAGCATGACTTTTAATCTGTAACTTATTTTTAATGCATTGTCAATGAGCGAATATTCTCTTACTGTCACGACCAATTCTTTGTATATATGACGCTCCTCTTTTATTGATTATTGTACTATATTTTAATCATGTACTGTATTGTGCTATTGCACTACCTTTTAACCCTATATCGCCAACCATTATATTGTACTTTTATGTAATATTGATCTTAATTCAGTGTACTCCACTGCGACATCAATAAAGCCAATCTGAATCTGAATCTGTATGAACACACTGTATGAACTTTCAAGATAACTGCCTACCCGTAGATGACATGGACACGACGGTTGTTGTCAAACTCTGGGTAGTTGTCAGCGGCTCCGTTGACTGTACTCCAGGGGGTGACGAAGGCGTGGATGAATAGATGACGGCCATGCGGTTCTCCTTGTAGGGTGCCAAGAACCATGAATCATCCGACTTGTTTAGTTTGACCTTGAACATCATGCCAAACTTTGCGTCCTACAAAAGGGTCCACAAGAACGATACACTCGGATAAAGCTTTGATGGTGAAGAATTTCAAATCAAGTAACAAACGGTTTGTTTTCATTTTATTTTATTCACATATATTTATTGAGTATGAGGCAAAAGGAAACAGTTGCTTATATGAAACCTTCTACTCAAAAGCATACAACGAGTATAAAACACATTGACAAGATACATGCACATGCATGCAAGATAAATACAAACAGGACAAGTTGATGGTTTATCAATCACGAGAATCTACCCGTACTGTAAATGAAGTTTTGGACTATATCAAAAACATTACAGTTTTGTAGGTGTGAGAGTGATGTGGACCAGGGCTTTAGCCAGGGACCGTTTTACCGTCAATTGACGGTAATTTGTCCCGTCTGACGGTAAAAATTTTAGTCCTTACCGTCAACATTGACGGTCAAAAATCGTGGGTAAAGACATGGAAAAAATCTAGCGAATTTGAATGAGCCACGGCGCGGCGTCTTTTCCAAACGCACGGCGGCGGGAAACCTGATTTCAAGAACCGTGCCGACGTCTGTTGACTTGGCTCTATTGTTCAATGTTGCTGTCTGTTAAAACAACATGTGCTAACGGCCACATAAGAATAAAATAAAATAATGGCTCGACTCAGACACACGCTGCTAACTGTACATGACAATACGATAAATAAACATGTGACAACGAACAAAGAAATATCAAACGTTTTTGAATAATATACTGTACTTGAATAATCATACTATCGCAAGAAAACGGAGATTGATCCACACAATGTGGCCTTATTTAATCTAAAACTTCGTCAGACCTCCTTCCCGCGAAGACTTGAGCGGCAGCATAAAGATTTCTGGAGGATCGCTGACACGCGAGTTTTTGCCGGCCACGTAACTCCCTCCGCGGCAAAATCCCCTTTGTCGTAGCGAAATCACGTCTCAGCGCTTCCCCAAGTCAACTTCATGGCCGCTAAAGTCCGCAAAGGAGTTGTAACTTCCTCATTTCGGTTGAGAAGCGAAGCTGACAAGTAAAATCATGTACATGTCGGCCATTTTGTTTGCTACCCGAAGTCTTCCGAACGCTCTAAATAAGGAAATCGTCGGAGATCTGAGCCACATCGCCCGCTGTCGGTCAGCGCTCGGGGCCGGCTCGGTGGAAATCGGAGGCTGTGACGTCATGAGTAGGTTCATTTGCATGGCCGCGGCTTGAATCGCGGCGGGATTTGAGCGGATCAAAACAAAGGGAATAGCGGATTATTCATTGCGTGTTGTCTCCTTGTGAGAACTGTAGTTTTTTTTCATTCTGCAAAATTGCAGATTGTGTAGTTTTTTTTTTTTTATTCTGCAATCTTGACGGGTATTTAGAACACCGAATGCAAAGTGTGCGGGAGGGCGTGATGTCGATCACCGGATCGTGAAAGACACTCTTTAAAAGTAATTATTGACGGAATTTTTTTTTCGCGTTGACGGTATTTTTTTTCGCGAATTGGGTTGACCTGGGGTTGACGGTAAAAAATTTCGAGCTGGCTAAAGCCCTGATGTGGACCCTCGAAGTAGTAAGGAACATAGGAAACTGTCATTGAGATGCTGTAGCTCTACTATGTTGGAGAGTTTTAAAACCAGGAGGTGACGATAAAAGCACAAGAACATGACAGCACAAGAACACGCCACATATCAAGTATCATCACAAACTGGGATCACTCGGTGCACATTAAAAGCAGCTTACAAATATTCATATTGTATCACCTCAAAGCCTGTCTGAATTCTCCCTCAATATGCAATATATAACGTTATATGCTATGCACTTCACAAATATTATATTGTTGTAGATTGTTTACATGCATGTATCATTTACTTATGTATCCATTGTACATTATGTTGCTTATACTACAGTCTCAGTATGGTTAAGACCGTTTTCAGCCTTTTTGCCTAATTAACTAATCCACTGACTTTCATCTCTTATACAAGCTTTCTGGTTAACGTTGGTTATTTCCCAAAAATTTTCACAAAATGTGAAGCTCCACATCAAGTAGATATGTCCAACGCATACGGGTTTTGCCCAAAGCGTACAGATATTAAAATATTAATGTAATAAGCATAAATTTTGTCACCTTTAGACACCTTGTGGGCCTTAAAGGTACACTTTTTCTTGACAAATTTGGTATCTATATATTCAGCAGTGATAACTCTACAACACTGCAGTGTGGCCTCTATTGTAGGAACAAAGATTTTTATTAATATCTTCAAAATTTTGACAAAAATGACAGCATTGGGATATTCATGAACACATAGCTTTATACTGCAAACCTTTATCACAAATACCACACTGCTATCTTCTTGTAAATTTTGTATACTTTCCAAAGAGGTATGTATTGACCCAAAAGGGCACAAAATGAGGGCCCACAACTTAGGACAAAATAAGATGTCAAAAATGTAACTTTTGCCCTCACTAGACAAGAAATCTGATCACTTTGTTGGGATAAGTGAACAATACAGCTAATCAACTTGTTTACATAGCACCTTGATAGCAGGGGAGCAGACTACCAGAGGAAACAATAGGCAGTTCACGGCTTGTTCACACCTCTACCTGGCACTACCTGGTGTGTGCCGGACAGCTTGGCTTGGGTTACAAACATAAACATCCTTTGGACTTGGCCTAAGAATGTTTTATTAAAGCACTATAGGCTCCAAATAACAGGCTGAACATACATTACACAATATTTCCCTTAGTAAGATTCATAATCCAGATTAGCACTGTACATTAATTTTAATAACTGTTACAACAAAACAGGAGGAGAATGTCCCCCTAGCTTGTTTTTCCCCAGCACAATAGTACGGCTTGTCAAGCCGTCCTGTGAAAAATCATTTAGCTTGACAGGGCTTTGGTACCAAATACTGTTACATTTGATTGTTATTATTATCAGCTTTATAACATTTATGTACGTACACTTCTACCTGATTTTCGAAAGTTTTTTTAAATTTTCATTTACTTCATAGGTCACCACAAAACAAGGCTCAAAATGTTTTTGGTTACAGTACAGCCAGTGTGGACAGATGTTTGTTGACCTTAGACAGTTAGGCTTGATACGTTTAAGGTTGTACTCATAAGGGAAACATTCACGAGGTAGCTTATTCCAAAGTGATGTTCTTGGAAAGAAGCTTTCAGCGTGTAACTTCCTCCTAAGAGGTGGTGAATGGAGAAGAAGGCGATTTGCTTCAGTGGAAGTGTCAAGACGTGTCCTTGCTGAGAATGTTCGAAGTGGGGGCACTAGCGAGTGAAGTTCCACGGAGCATTTACCGTGGAAGTGGCGATAAAAGAAAGCAAGGTTTGCAACATTACGCCTATGTGAGAGTGGTTGTAGGGTGGCGAACAAGTCACTTGCAACAAAATTTTGTAAGCGCTTTTGAACTCGGTTGAGGCAGTTTAGGGAGCTCTGGGCAGCTCCAGCCCAGATGTGACAACAATGTTCCATTTTTGGTCTAATCTGGCTCTTGTATAAGATAGCTGATGGTGTTAAATACTTTTTTGGTGCGGTACAAGTAAGTAAGTTTTTGCAAGGAGGTTCAAAAAGGAAATCTCGTGGAAGTTTGACAACTCTGTTCTGTGATAGATGGCCTTGAGTTAGCCTATAAGTCTAACTATTTGAAAGATCTCAACAACCCTTTCCGGCGTGCGATTGAAAAAAGTGGAACTACC